ACACAGCAGTGTGTGAGGAGACCTGAAAGTGGCACATGGCAGAGTGTGGCGATGGAGACAGCAGCAATGGGAGGCCGTACAGGGACCCATGAGAGACTCTGGACTGGCAGCAGCATGAGGAGGCGGTATATAGGGGCCCATGGCAGATTAGGGGCCTGGCAGCAGCTATGGGAGGCCCGTAATCTGCCAGCACCCTATGTCAAAAAATTCAACACACCAGCAGTGTGTGAGGAGAGACCTGAAAGTGGCACATGGCAGAGTGTGGCGATGGAGACAGCAGCAATGGGAGGCCGTACAGGGACCCATGAGAGACTCTGGACTGGCAGCAGCATGAGGAGGCGGTATATATAGGGGCCCATGGCATGGCAGATTAGGGGCCTGGCAGCAGCTATAGGAGGCCCGTAATCTGCCAGCACCCTATGTCAAAAAATTCAACACAGCAGTGTGTGAGGAGACCTGAAAGTGGCACATGGCAGAGTGTGGCGATGGAGACAGCAGCAATGGGAGGCCGTACAGGGACCCATGAGAGACTCTGGACTTGGCAGCAGCATGAGGAGGCGGTATATAGGGGCCCATGGCAGATTAGGGGCCTGGCAGCAGCTATGGGAGGCCCGTAATCTGCCAGCACCCTATGTCAAAAAATTCAACACACAGCAGTGTGTGAGGAGACCTGAAAGTGGCACATGGCAGAGTGTGGCGATGGAGACAGCAGCAATGGGAGGCCGTACAGGGACCCATGAGAGACTCTGGACTTGGCAGCAGCATGAGGAGGCGGTATATATATAGGGGCCCATGGCAGATTAGGGGCCTGGCAGCAGCTATAGGAGGCCCGTAATCTGCCAGCACCCTATGTCAAAAAAATTCAACACACACAGCAGTGTGAGGAGACCTGAAAGGGCACATGGCAGAGTGTGGCGATGGAGACAGCAGCAATGGGAGGCCGTACAGGGACCCATGAGAGACTCTGGACTTGGCAGCAGCATGAGGAGGCGGTATATATAGGGGCCCATGGCAGATTAGGGGCCTGGCAGCAGCTATAGGAGGCCCGTAATCTGCCAGCACCCTATGTCAAAAAATTCAACACACACCAGCAGTGTGTGAGGAGACCTGAAAGTGGCACATGGCAGAGTGTGGCGATGGAGACAGCAGCAATGGGAGGCCGTACAGGGACCCATGAGAGACTCTGGACTTGGCAGCAGCAGCATGAGGAGGCGGTATATAGGGGCCCATGGCAGATTAGGGGCCTGGCAGCAGCTATAGGAGGCCCGTAATCTGCCAGCACCCTATGTCAAAAAATTCAACACACCAGCAGTGTGTGAGGAGACCTGAAAGTGGCACATGGCAGAGTGTGGCGATGGAGACAGCAGCAATGGGAGGCCGTACAGGGACCCATGAGAGACTCTGGACTTGGCAGCAGCATGAGGAGGAGGCGGTATATAGGGGCCCATGGCAGATTAGGGGCCTGGCAGCAGCTATGGGAGGCCCGTAATCTGCCAGCACCCTATGTCAAAAAATTCAAACACAGCAGTGTGTGTGAGGAGACCTGACCTGAAAGTGGCACATGGCAGAGTGTGGCGATGGAGACAGCAGCAATGGGAGGCCGTACAGGGACCCATGAGAGACTCTGGACTTGGCAGCAGCATGAGGAGGCGGTATATAGGGGCCCATGGCAGATTAGGGGCCTGGCAGCAGCTATAGGAGGCCCGTAATCTGCCAGCACCCTATGTCAAAAAATTCAACACACCAGCAGTGTGTGAGGAGACCTGAAAGTGGCACATGGCAGAGTGTGGCGATGGAGACAGCAGCAATGGGAGGCCGTACAGGGACCCATGAGACTCTGGACTTGGCAGCAGCATGAGGAGGCGGTATATATAGGGGCCCATGGCAGATTAGGGGCCTGGCAGCAGCTATGGGAGGCCCGTAATCTGCCAGCACCCTATGTCAAAAAATTCAACACACCAGCAGTGTGTGAGGAGACCTGAAAGTGGCACATGGCAGAGTGTGGCGATGGAGACAGCAGCAATGGGAGGCCGTACAGGGACCCATGAGAGACTCTGGACTTGGCAGCAGCATGAGGAGGCGGTATATAGGGGCCCATGGCAGATTAGGGGCCTGGCAGGCAGCAGCTATAGGAGGCCCGTAATCTGCCAGCACCCTATGTCAAAAAATTCAACACACCAGCAGTGTGTGAGGTGAGGAGACCTGAAAGTGGCACATGGCAGAGTGTGGCGATGGAGACAGCAGCAATGGGAGGCCGTACAGGGACCCATGAGAGACTCTGGACTTGGCAGCAGCATGAGGAGGCGGTATATAGGGGCCCATGGCAGATTAGGGGCCTGGCAGCAGCTATGGGAGGCCCGTAATCTGCCAGCACCCTATGTCAAAAAATTCAACACACCAGCAGTGTGTGAGGAGACCTGAAAGTGGCACATGGCAGAGTGTGGCGATGGAGACAGCAGCAATGGGAGGCCGTACAGGGACCCATGAGAGACTCTGGACTTGGCAGCAGCATGAGGAGGCGGTATATAGGGGTATATAGGGGCCCATGGCAGATTAGGGGCCTGGCAGCAGCTATGGGAGGCCCGTAATCTGCCAGCACCCTATGTCAAAAAAATTCAACACACCAGCAGTGTGTGAGGAGACCTGAAAGTGGCACATGGCAGAGTGTGGCGATGGAGACAGCAGCAATGGGAGGCCGTACAGGGACCCATGAGAGACTCTGGACTTGGCAGCAGCAGCATGAGGAGGCGGTATATAGGGGGGCCCATGGCAGATTAGGGGCCTGGCAGCAGCTATGGGAGGCCCGTAATCTGCCAGCACCCTATGTCAAAAAATTCAACACACCAGCAGTGTGTGAGGAGACCTGAAAGTGGCACATGGCAGAGTGTGGCGATGGATGGACAGCAGCAATGGGAGGCCGTACAGGGGGACCCATGAGAGACTCTGGACTTGGCAGCAGCATGAGGAGGCGGTATATAGGGGGCCCATGGCAGATTAGGGGCCTGGCAGCAGCTATAGGAGGCCCGTAATCTGCCAGCACCCTATGTCAAAAAATTCAACACACCAGCAGTGTGTGAGGAGACCTGAAAGTGGCACATGGCAGAGTGTGGCGATGGAGACAGCAGCAATGGGAGGCCGTACAGGGACCCATGAGAGACTCTGGACTTGGCAGCAGCATGAGGAGGCGGTATATAGGGGCCCATGGCAGATTAGGGGCCTGGCAGCAGCTATAGGAGGCCCGTAATCTGCCAGCACCCTATGTCAAAAAATTCAACACACCAGCAGTGTGAGAGAGACCTGAAAGTGGCACATGGCAGAGGTGGCGATGGAGACAGCAGCAATGGGAGGCCGTACAGGGACCCATGAGAGACTCTGGACTTGGCAGCAGCATGAGGAGGCGGTATATAGGGGCCCATGGCAGATTAGGGGCCTGGCAGCAGCTATGGGAGGCCCGTAATCTGCCAGCACCCTATGTCAAAAAATTCAACACACAGCAGTGTGTGAGGAGACCTGAAAGTGGCACATGGCAGAGTGTGGCGATGGAGACAGCAGCAATGGGAGGCCGTACAGGGACCCATGAGAGACTCTGGACTTGGCAGCAGCATGAGGAGGCGGTATATAGGGGCCCATGGCAGATTAGGGGCCTGGCAGCAGCTATAGGGAGGCCCGTAATCTGCCAGCACCCTATATGTCAAAAAATTCAACACACCAGCAGTGTGTGAGGAGACCTGAAAGTGGCACATGGCAGAGTGTGGCGATGGAGACAGCAGCAATGGGAGGCCGTACAGGGACCCATGAGAGAGACTCTGGACTTGGCAGCAGCATGAGGAGGCGGTATATATAGGGGCCCATGGCAGATTAGGGGCCTGGCAGCAGCTATAGGAGGCCCGTAATCTGCCAGCACCCTATGTCAAAAAATTCAACACACCAGCAGTGTGTGAGGAGACCTGAAAGTGGCACATGGCAGAGTGTGGCGATGGAGACAGCAGCAATGGGAGGCCGTACAGGGACCCATGAGAGACTCTGGACTTGGCAGCAGCATGAGGAGGCGGGGGTATATAGGGGCCCATGGCAGATTAGGGGCCTGGCAGCAGCTATGGGAGGCCCGTAATCTGCCAGCACCCTATGTGTCAAAAAATTCAACACACCAGCAGTGTGTGAGGAGACCTGAAAGTGGCACATGGCAGAGTGTGGCGATGGAGACAGCAGCAGCAATGGGAGGCCGTACAGGGACCCATGAGAGACTCTGGACTTGGCAGCAGCATGAGGAGGCGGTATATAGGGGCCCATGGCAGATTAGGGGCCTGGCAGCAGCTATGGAGGCCCGTAATCTGCCAGCACCCTATGTCAAAAAAAATTCAACACACCAGCAGTGTGAGGAGACCTGAAAGTGGCACATGGCAGAGTGTGGCGATGGAGACAGCAGCAATGGGAGGCCGTACAGGGACCCATGAGAGACTCTGGACTTGGCAGCAGCATGAGGAGGCGGCGGTATATAGGGGCCCATGGCAGATTAGGGGCCTGGCAGCAGCTATGGGAGGCCCGTAATCTGCCAGCACCCTATGTCAAAAAATTCAACACACCAGCAGTGTGAGGAGGAGACCTGAAAGTGGGCACATGGCAGAGTGTGGCGATGGAGACAGCAGCAATGGGAGGCCGTACAGGGACCCATGAGAGACTCTGGACCTTGGCAGCAGCATGAGGAGGCGGTATATATAGGGGCCCATGGCAGATTAGGGGCCTGGCAGCAGCTATAGGAGGCCCGTAATCTGCCAGCACCCTATGTCAAAAATTCAACACACCAGCAGCAGTGTGAGGAGACCTGAAAGTGGCACATGGCAGAGTGTGGCGATGGAGACAGCAGCAATGGGAGGCCGTACAGGGACCCATGAGAGACTCTGGACTTGGCAGCAGCATGAGGAGGCGGTATATAGGGGCCCATGGCAGATTAGGGGCCTGGCAGCAGCTATAGGGAGGCCCGTAATCTGCCAGCACCCTATGTCAAAAAATTCAACACACCAGCAGTGTGTGAGGAGACCTGAAAGTGGCACATGGCAGAGTGTGGCGATGGAGACAGCAGCAATGGGAGGCCGTACAGGGACCCATGAGAGACTCTGGACTTGGCAGCAGCATGAGGAGGCGGTATATAGGGGCCCATGGCAGATTAGGGGCCTGGCAGCAGCTATGGGAGGCCCGTAATCTGCCAGCACCCTATGTCAAAAAATTCAACACACCAGCAGTGTGTGAGGAGACCTGAAAGTGGCACATGGCAGAGTGTGGCGATGGAGACAGCAGCAATGGGAGGCCGTACAGGGACCCATGAGAGAGACTCTGGACTTGGCAGCAGCATGAGGAGGCGGTATATAGGGGCCCATGGCAGATTAGGGGCCTGGCAGCAGCTATAGGAGGCCCGTAATCTGCCAGCACCCTATGTCAAAAAATTCAACACACCAGCAGTGTGTGAGGAGACCTGAAAGTGGCACATGGCAGAGTGTGGCGATGGAGACAGCAGCAATGGGAGGCCGTACAGGGACCCATGAGAGACTCTGGACTTGGCAGCAGCATGAGGAGGCGGTATATAGGGGCCCATGGCAGATTAGGGGCCTGGCAGCAGCTATAGGGAGGCCCGTAATCTGCCAGCACCCTATGTCAAAAAATTCAACACACCAGCAGTGTGTGAGGAGACCTGAAAGTGGCACATGGCAGAGTGTGGCGATGGAGACAGCAGCAATGGGAGGCCGTACAGGGACCCATGAGAGACTCTGGACTTGGCAGCAGCATGAGGAGGCGGTATATATAGGGGCCCATGGCAGATTAGGGGCCTGGCAGCAGCTATAGGGAGGCCCGTAATCTGCCAGCACCCTATGTCAAAAAAATTCAACACACCAGCAGTGTGTGAGGAGACCTGAAAGTGGCACATGGCAGAGTGTGGCGATGGAGACAGCAGCAATGGGAGGCCGTACAGGGACCCATGAGAGACTCTGGACTTGGCAGCAGCATGAGGAGGCGGCGGTATATAGGGGCCCATGGCAGATTAGGGGCCTGGCAGCAGCAGCTATGGGAGGCCCGTAATCTGCCAGCACCCTATGTCAAAAAATTCAACACCAGCAGTGTGTGAGGAGACCTGAAAGTGGCACATGGCAGAGTGTGGCGATGGAGACAGCAGCAATGGGAGGCCGTACAGGGACCCATGAGAGACTCTGGACCTGGCAGCAGCATGAGGAGGCGGTATATAGGGGCCCATGGCAGATTAGGGGCCTGGCAGCAGCTATGGGAGGCCCGTAATCTGCCAGCACCCTATGTCAAAAAATTCAACACACACAGCAGTGTGTGAGGAGACCTGAAAGTGGCACATGGCAGAGTGTGGCGATGGAGACAGCAGCAATGGGAGGCCGTACAGGGACCCATGAGAGACTCTGGACCTGGCAGCAGCAGCATGAGGAGGCGGTATATAGGGGCCCATGGCAGATTAGGGGCCTGGCAGCAGCTATAGGAGGCCCGTAATCTGCCAGCACCCTATGTCAAAAAATTCAACACACCAGCAGTGTGTGAGGAGACCTGAAAGTGGCACATGTTTGAGGCATGATTCATGGCGGATTTAGTCAGTTGTGTCAGGAACTGGTGGTTTGAAATCCAGACTAATCCACGCCTGATTCATTTTCACAAACGTGAGTCTCTCCACACTTTGGGTGGACAGTCGTGTCCTCCGCGGAGGAGTTACAATACCTCCTGCCGCACTAAACACGCGCTCCGATGCCACGCTACTGGCCGGGCATGACAGCCTTTCAAGGGCAAATTCAGCTAGTTGGGGCCAAAGGTCAAGTTTCGTTGCCCAGTAGTCAAGGGGATTGTCTACCTCGGTTGGCAGGGTGCTGTCCAAGTAGGCCCAAGCCTGTTGTTTGAGGTCCTGCTCCAGGTCCACCTGATGCCCATGGCTGCTGCTGCTGCTGCAGCAGCTGGTTAGTAGTTTCCTCACTGCGCTGGTGAAGAAAGCTATCATCATCGACTGCAGACTGAGGCAGAGGAGACTGAAAGTGGCCGCTGCTGGTGGAGCTGGAGCTGCCACTGCTCCTACCACCCCACCCCTCCCTGCTGCCATGGCAGCGGAACGCGAGCGCAGCAGCACAGGGCCCACAGTGTCTGAGGATGGACGTTGGCGCAGCAAAAAGGCAGAGACCAACTGACTACATAGGTGGTTTTTATAGTACGTTATTTTGGCCTCCCTCTCAGCAGGTGTGAAAAAGGCCACCATTTTTGAACGGTAGCGAGGGTCCAACAAGGTGGACAGCCAAAGTCATCCCTGAAAGTGGCACATGGCAGAGTCTGTCTGATGGTTATTATTCGGCTGTCGCTGGGCAAGCAACCGAGCATGCTATGGGCCATTTGTGCCAAGGAATGCGAGGGACTCCCTGCCTCCATCTCCACAGCATGCCACGGTGGTCCGGGTCCTCTGCCAGCCCCTCCTCCTCTACCAGATGCTCCTGCTCCTCCACTCCTGTCAGCTGAGTGTGAAAACCACCCATTTCACTCAATAATTCCTGAGCACAGCAATGGGAGGCCGTCCTCCTCTACTCTCCTCCTCTTGAGGAGGCGGTATTCCTGTCCTGCCCCCACAGGGGTCATGTGGCGTTGAGATCTGTGCGCCCACGTCTAATCCGCACCCTGACCAGCCATTGTTAACAGCATTTGTTCCAGGACGTGCAACAGAGGAATGACGTCGTTCATCCCATAGTCCTGCCGACTCACGAATAGCGTGGCCTCCTCAAAGGGCCTGAGCAAGCGGCAGGTGTCACGCATGAGCTGCCAATGGCTGCATCGAGGGCAGCTTACACAGGGGAGTACCTTTATCCGCTTGTAACATGAGGAGGCAGGAAAGGGGATGGCAGATTAGGGGCCTGGCAGCAGCTAAAGAGGCCCGTAATCTGCTAACATATGTCAGGGTTGAATTCCACCTTGTTGCAACGCGCAGTGTGTGGCGATGCTGAAAATTCCGTTCTGGCTGCAGCTGGCAGGAGGGTGTGGCGGTGGAGGACAGGCTGAAAATGCATGCAAAGTTTACGGACCCATGAAGGATGTCTTGCAGTGGCATGGTGGATTTTAGGAACCGCTTGACAACCAGATTGAACATAGGGGCCATGCATGGCAGGCATTAGGGGCCTGGCAGCAGCTAGACACCAGGCCCTTTCTGCCAGCAACCTATGTTCCGATTTTCAGTTTGCGCGGAGCAGCCATGTGAGGTTCATTACACTGAGAAGTGGCACATGGCCCCTGTGTGGCGATGTGACAGCACTGGGAGGCGTTGAGGCCTGGACCTGGCAGCAGCATGAGGAGGCGGTATATAGGGCCCATGGCAGATTAGGGGCCTGGCAGCAGCTATGGGAGGCCCGTAATCTGCCAGCACCCTATGTCAAAAAATTCAACACACCAGCAGTGTGAGGAGACCTGAATGTGGCACATGGCAGAGTGTGGCGATGGAGACAGCAGCAATGGGAGGCCGTACAGGGACCCATGACAGACTCTGGCTGGCAGCAGCATGGAGGGCGGTATATAGGGGCCCATGGCAGATTAGGGGCCTGGGCAGCAGCTATGGGAGGCCCGTAATCTGCCAGCACCCTATGTCAAAAAATTCAACACACCAGCAGTGTGTGAGGAGACCTGAAAGTGGCACATGGCAGAGTGGCACATGGCAGAGTGTGGCGATGGAGACAGCAGCAATGGGAGGCCGTACAGGGACCCATGAGAGACTCTGGACCTGGGCAGCAGCATGAGGAGGCGGTATATAGGGGCCCATGGCAGATTGGGCCTGGCAGCAGCTATGGGAGGCCCGTAATCTGCCAGCACCCTATGTCAAAAAATTCAACACACCAGCAGTGTGAGGAGACCTGAAAGTGGCACATGGCATGAGGAGACTGTGGACCCATGGCAGGACAGCAGCAGCATGAGGAGGCGGTATAGGGGCCCATGGCAGATTAGGGGCCTGGCAGCAGCTATGGGAGGCCCGTAATCTGCCAGCACCCTATGTCAAAAAATTCAACACACCAGCAGTGTGTGAGGAGACCTGAAAGTGGCACATGGCAGAGTGTGGCGATGGAGACAGCAGCAATGGGAGGCCGTACAGGGACCCATGAGAGACTCTGGACTTGGCAGCAGCATGAGGAGGCGGTATATAGGGGCCCATGGCAGATTAGGGGCCTGGCAGCAGCTATGGGAGGCCCGTAATCTGCCAGCACCCTATGTCAAAAAATTCAACACACCAGCAGTGTGAGGAGACCTGAAAGTGGCACATGGCATGAGAGACTGTGGACCTGGCAGCAGCATGAGGAGGCGGTATAGGGGCCCATGGCAGATTAGGGGCCTGGCAGCAGCTATGGGAGGCCCGTAATCTGCCAGCACCCTATGTCAAAAAATTCAACACACCAGCAGTGTGTGAGGAGACCTGAAAGTGGCACATGGCAGAGTGTGGCGATGGAGACAACCCACCGACTGTTTTGCTCGCTGCCAAGCTGCCACCCTCTTCTCCTGATGATGCGGAAGCAATAGCCTGATGACGACGAGGCTGCCAAGTGCGATCAGCCTCATCATCATCAATTAGGGTCTCCGCCTCACTACTAGCCCCCTCGGCTGCGTGTGGGTCAGGAGACAGACCTGTCTCTACACCGGCTACCGAGCCACTCTCCTCGCCACTACTTCTTCGCCTGGCTGCTGAAGAGGCGGATGTCTCCCCCCGTTCCTGACCGCCCTCTGTTAGCTCTTCCTCACTGTACTGGATGACACCGGGAGCACTAGCCTCTGGCTGCGAATAGTGCTGCCTCGACCCCTTCCTCTGCTGCCACGTCTGCTCGCTCCTAAAACATTGCCTCCTCTGCCACTCCTCTGCATGTTGTCTGACATACTCTTTAATTAAACGATTCTGTGTCCCTGAGTAACAATTCTGTGGCCCTAAGTAACGTTCTGTGGCCCTCAGTAACAGTTCTGTGTCCCTGAGTAACAATTCTGTGGCCCTCAGTAACAATTCTGTGGCCCTAAGTAACAATTCTGTGGCCCTCAGTAACAATTCTGTGGCCCTGCGAAGTAACGGTTCTGTGGCCCTCAGTAACAATTCTGTGTCCCTGTGTAACAATTCTGTGTCTGTGCGAGTAACAATTCTGTAAGTAACAGTTCTGTGGCCCTCAGTAACAGTTCTGTGGCCCTGAGTAACAATTCTGTGTAACAATTCTGTGGCCCTAAGTAACAGTTCTGTGGCCTCAGTAACAATTCTGTGGCCCTAAGTAACGGTTCTGTGGCCCTCAGTAACAATTCTGTAACAATTCTGTGTCTGTGCGAGTAACAATTCTGTGGCCCTAAGTAACAGTTCTGTGGCCCTCAGTAACAGTTCTGTGTCCCTGAGTAACAATTCTGTGTCTGTGCGAGTAACAATTCTGTGGCCCTAAGTAACAGTTCTGTGGCCCTCAGTAACAGTTTCTGTGTCCCTGAGTAACAATTCTGTGTCTGTGCTAAGTAACAATTCTGTGGCCCTAAGTAACAGTTCTGTGGCCTCAGTAACAATTCTGTGGCCCTAAGTAACGGTTCTGTGGCCCTCAGTAACAATTCTGTGTCTGTCCCTGAGTAACAATTCTGTTCTGTCTGTGGCCCTAAGTTGAAGTTCTGTGGCCCTAAGTAACAATTCTGTGGCCCTCAGTAACAATTCTGTGTCTCTGTGGCCCTAAGTAACAATTCTCTGGCACTCAGTAAAACAAATTCTGTCTGTCCCTGAGTAACAATTCTGTGGCCCTAATAACGTTTCTGTGGCCCTAAGTAACAATTCTCTGGCAATTGAGTGTAACAATTCTGTCTGTCCCCTGAGTAAGAATTCTGTGGCCCTAACTAGCGTTTCTTTGTCCCTAAGTAACGATTCTGTGGCCCTCATTAACAATTCTGTGTCCCCTGAGTAATGGTTCTCTGTCCCTAAGTAACTTTCTCTGTCCCCAAGTATCGTTTCTGTGGCCCTAACTCTGTCCCTAATACAGAGCGGTCTGCTCTGTTCAATGACTGCAGGCAAATGAAGAATTCCAAAAATGGGCCGCTATTTTA